AGGAGTAGGAGGAGGAGGAGGAGGAGGAGGAGGAGGAGGAGGAGGAGGAGGAGGAAGGAGGAGGAGGAGGAGGAGGAGGAGGAGGAGGAGGAGGAGGAAGAAGAAGAATAAGAAGAAGAAGAAGAAGAAGAAGAAGAAGAAGAAGAACAACAACAACAACAACAATAACAACAAGAAGGAAATAAGAAGAACAATAAGATCCTGAAGAAGAACAAGAACAAGAAAAATAACAAGAGAATGAAAAAACTGCACAGTTAATACACCACACGTCCACCCACATCTACGGTTTATTCTGCGCACTTCATTCACAACTTCACTAATAAACACCATCAGCCAAAGAGGCTAAACAAAAAGCGCAAGCTTCACAAATCCCAGCTAAAAGACAAAGAATTAGCAACACCACTGACCTGGCAGTCATCCATGACGACCTTGTATCTGAAGGCCTTCTTAGCGTGGACGGACAGCTCCTCCTCATCAAAGCCCATGACGCGGACGGACTGCTCGTAGGTGCGGTTTTGGCTGTCGTAGACGGCCACAACGTTGCGGCAGTTGATGGTCACTCTCTGGCGGGCAGCCTTGGACAGGAATTGCAGGAACTTCACCTGGGACTTGTGGCTCTGGTAGGAGAACTGTCGAGGGCGGGAAAAACAAAACGTTGATGAGTTCAATATTTGTTAAAAACCTGTAGCTGTTTCTTCACCCAACAAATAAATGAAATAAATTAATAAATAGTGTATATAAAAAATTAAATGAATAAATAAACGAATATATGAATAAACGAATAAATGTACAAATCTATAAATGAATAAATGAATAAATAAAGTAAAACAAATCTGAGCAATGTATATAACTTAAGAAGGGGGGGGGGGGGGGGGCTGCACATCCCGTATGCATGTCAGGATCAACCCGGGCTAACAGGAATACAACATCCCAACTAAATATCGCTAAATATTCACCTTCAGTGCGTTGTTGTAGGAATGAAGAATTATAAACCCTAAAGAGCACAGTTTGTCAGGTTAGTAAAGTTGTTCCCACATCCGATCCGGACATTGGGAATTGCCTTGTTAGTGAGACAACTTGCTGGGCCTTCGGCATATTGTGGTAGGGTGGCCAGTTCCTTTCCACGCCGCCTTTGCTTCCCCAACTCGAAGTCAGGTACCCGTTACTGCTGAGTGGGCAGGAGGGGGTGAAAAAAAATCTGTCTCCGAACCGAGGCTCGAACCCGGACTTTCCACTTCGGAGACGAGCGCACGAGTGGTAAAATACAACAACCCTGTTTCAATCTTTTAAAAATAGTGCCCAAGTTATGCATCTTTTCATTTCACAACTTGAATTTCAACAAAACAACGCAATAAATATCATAACGTATTAAAGAGCAATACAAGAAACCCCCAAAAGTTTGGGTGTAGTTCACCTAAACAGCTGGTCGACAATAGTACTATTATAAGGTCCGTTTGAGCAATCTCACCTCGTTATCAGCGAACGTCTCAGCGAAGTAGGCAGCAGCCTTTCCGGTGGGTCTGGAGCGGAACCAGGTCTTCTTCTCAAACTGTGGAAAAGAATATAAAAAACCCCATATAAATAAATTAACAAAATACAGAAATATTAGTTCATATAGGTTGGGAGTTATTAAAAAACTAGACACAGGAAATACTCTCGCCCTCAACTCTCAGCGGAACAAAAGGAGTGCAGTAGTATTATACAAATACTTACTTACTAACTTACTTAATTACCTACTTACACTCACTCACACACACACACACACACACACACACACACACACACACACACACACACACATAGACAAACAAAAAAGCGTAAAAATAAAACGAAACAAAACAAGAGGGTTTTCTTTTTTAAACAAAACTTACAACTTCGGTGGCTGGCACAAGGCAGGTCTGGGTCCTATCGAGTTTCTCCTGGTCGAAGCGGCAGAACACTTGGATGGCATCAGCGATACCTCCGCCGTTGGGATCGATCCAGTACATGCCTGTTGATGAATAGAGATAATGATGATAATACTGATAACAACAGTTGTTATGATAATGATTATTTTTATAATAATGATGATGACCGACGATGATTATACTGATATTATTATTATTATTATTATTATTATTATTATTATTATTATTATATTGCATGATAATTTTTTGTTTGTTTCCTTAAAGGGTGTGGTGGACCCCACGGAGAAATCTTCGAGCGAGAGCGAGGCTCTTTTTCGGCTCCATTGTCAATGTACTTAGAAGCACCTCCACTCGTCCTAATAATCCTAATAACTCTATTCGAATTGCCATTGTTCCTGGATATTCTGAGATGTGTTTGACATGATGATGATGATGGTGATGATGATGATTACTGAAATTATTATTATCATTATTATTATTATAATAATAATAATAATTATTATTATTATTAAAATTATTATTATTATTTTTATTATTATTATAATTATTATTGTATATTACTACTACTATTATTATTATTATTATTATTTTTATAATTATAATTATTATCATTAT